AATTTAGTCTGAGATGAGTATATATTTGACAAATGTTGAAGAAAAGAAGGAAGATTGTAGAAACAGAGAAGTTAAATTTTAGCTGAGAAATTTGAGTCGATTTTGTTTTAAACAAGAACTTTCTTAAAAATAAAGAAAATCAAGAAAATTACACTTTCATGAGTTGCTATTTATGAGAAATAGTGGGAATTGGGCTGAAAGGAAAAAGGGGGGAGGGTATATTGTAGAGCAGGAGTTGATTTATTTGGTAATGCAATATTGGGAAGAAAATGAAAGTAAATTCTTGCTAGATGAGAATGTCCTTAAAATGTCTGCAGGGAAGATTTAAAGGAATCTAAATATCTCCTGTAGATGCTTTGAGAATGGGTACATATATATGAAGATGCCTCCTTTAGTTAAGCCAAGTTCAGTAAGTTAAGGTTTTCCCTATTTCAAATGTCCTAGTGACTTTATTTCTGTAACCTAAGAAAGATTAGCAGCCTGACTAAAACAACACCTAGATTAGGACTGTGTGTATATTCAATTCTCATTATTCACAGTAATTTTCTAGAAACATGCACCAAACACTAAATTAGTGAATACTGGCCATTTTTCCTAAAGGAAATACAAGTTTAGGTTGCCGTGAGCCTCTAGTCACAATATTTTCATCAAGTAGTTAATATATACTCTTTCTTTTATGTGTGTTTAAAGATAACTTATTTAATACATATTGTTGATTCATTCATGTCGAACTTGCGGAACATAGCACTTTATTCATGCCTCAGTGCAACTATATGAATTTTCTATGTAACATGATACTTCAGAAAGTTCATGGAAGAATTGAATTAAAAGATAATATCCTTCCAAGAACTTTTGAAGACCCCTTGTGCTTAGGAACACTAGGGAAAATGTCAGCAGTACTTTTGGGAGCCATATTAAACAACAAAATCAACAACAGAAAACACAAAAATGTGAAAAACCTGGGATTAAATAGACTGTGAAAAGAATATTTGTTTATGGTATGAGAACTCAGAAAAGAAGGCAGAAGGTCACCTTGCTCAAACTCAGATGGGAACACGCACATCAAGAGACTCAAACTTTTTGCCGCTTTGTGCATGTCTGTGAATAACCACAAAATGCCACCAGTACTAATTTCGGTGTTGCAAATATATTTTAGCAAGTAGCCGAATTTGCAAATATAGAATCCATAGATAATTAGGATCGACTATATATCAAATAATTGGAAAGAGAAGCATAAAATGAATTATGGGGAGTTGGGCAAAATGCCCACCAGAGAGAAGAAAGAAATCATATGGATGGATGGATGGATGGATGGATGGATGGATGGATGGATGGATGGATGGATAATAAATGTTAGTTTGTTTGGCTAGCATCCTCTTTTTTTTTTCACTTGCTTTGGTAAAATATATGTCATCCGAAGCATTAAAGTGGCTCCAGAT